TAATAAGCTCACAAAATGTTTAGACAGAATACAAGACTGATCACTACAACTGAAAAAGGTGGTTTAACATCTCCTTTATTGTCAGATCAGGATTTCAAATTGCTGCTAAGACAGCACATGGACTCAATAACAGAGTCAGACTAAATTTGACAAAGAAATTTAGCATTGACCCAGATGATGTTTGGACATTAGATGAATGCAAGAAAGTGCTTGATGCATACATTCGCAAAAACAATGTAAAAGGCATTATCTGCTGCTACAGAGAATTCAGTTTATCTCGAGCTAAACAACAAGCTCAAGCTAAATCAGAATTAGAGAAACAGATCCAAGAGCTTCATGCTAAAATAACCTCATTAACAAAACAACTGAACCTCAAGAAATCAAAAACTGACATTGAGAAGGCTAGTCAGCCTGATAATAAACATCCTGACTTACAAATTGTCTCTGAAACAGACATTTCCATCCAGTCAGATAGCGATTTACCTATAGGTTCAGTGGAGGTTTGTGGTGCCAGAAGATCTAAGAGAACTGAGAGTTCACACAACAACACTTCTGTTGTTCAAATTCAAACAGTTTCCAGAACACTAGGACCTAAAGAAATAAACAGACTGTCTCAAAGCTTACCATCAGCACGAACAAATTTTTCAGAGTTTAGCAGAGCACTAATCAGCAAAATGCGTCTTTATGACATGACATTAACAGAAGTCACCCAGCTAATGTCTCAAATTCTCACTGAATCTGAATTGAACAATTTTGAGCATACTGTGACCTCTAAACTACAACATGCCAGTAAGGATGATTTGAGAGAGGGTGTTTTGAAGCTCTAAAGAACATTGTTGGCCCAAAGATCGACTGGTCAAAAGTGACTTGTTGTGTGCAAAGGAAAGATGAATCTGTGAATGAATTCACTGAGAGATTTTGTCAATCCGCCATAACTTACAGTGGATTAGCTGATAATTCGGACAGTGTGCTAGATGATAAGGGACCCCTAGTCCGCATCTGGTCAGATGGCCTTGCAACTGAATACAGACAAGCTTTGCCATTTCTTAACATCACCTGGTCTTCCACCACTCTCTATAATCTGAACAGTTTAGCTTTGTGGGAAAGAGACTCTTACATCAAAGACAGAGTCAGATTTGAAGCAGCTGCCACTAAGGTCAACACAGAAAAGACATCAAATCACAAATGTCTTAGGAAAAATATCTGTTGTCATTACTGTGGTAAAAAAGTACATTGGATGAGGGAGTGTAGAAAGAATAAAAAGAACTTTAAAGAGATGAACAGGGTAAATCAACTTCTGAACAGTTTGCTAAATGCCCTCAACATACCCCTCCCCTCATCACTAAATCCATTGAGCTGTCCACAAAGATGCTAACCATTTTTTGGCTGTAAGTGCTTAATGTCCCAGTTCATTTACAATTAAGGTGAAAGACTCTTTGTAAAAAGACACAAAGGAAACTTCTTCCTTTGTATTAGGGAACTCTGCTTAAGTCCACTCACAGCCTTGAATGTGTTTAACACATTTTCCAATCACTACCCATTCAATGTTATGATGTCTGATAGGACTGATATTTGTTGAATGATAGTTTGTGTCTCACATTTTAAAGTTTGCCCACCACACTCAGGGACAGAACAGGACACACAAACCAGTGAGGAGCCCAGGGCAGAACTGAAAGCAACAGGCTTCAGGGGCCGCACCCTGTGGTGAAGACTCCCTTTTTCCCCATTTATCCTCACCTCACTGTTTTATAGGTGTCATAACTTTAAGATTAGGAGACAGAAAATACACAACACTATACGATCACCAACTTAACACCACTATACGATCACCTGAATAACTAGACACACGAACTATGATCATACAAGTCTATGCATGAATACTGCTGGTCTGCTGTTTCCGTGTTTTCTTGTGTGCAGGTAAACACAAACACTGCATCTTCTCAAGAAACACTCTAAACCAGAGCATCACTACGGAGATCCATGAATGACAGGAAGTCATCAGATCAACTCTGTGCTGGAGAAGAACCACAAGAAACACACCTCACAAAACACTGAACACTATTCACAAGCCATGGACTTTCAGAAGATCTGCAGTTTAACTACATGATTTTTTGTGTCATCATGTAGGATTTATGACATTACAACTGATTGTCATAAACGTGTGAACAGTTTTGAAATCTACACTTACATCTACGTAGATATTGAAATGACACAGAATAAGTTAAATGTGCCTGTAACTTTTCAAGTTACATGACTGGAAGATGGGGCTTCTGTTTATCAAACAGAAGCCATTGAATGGTTTTAGGAAAGCTTACAAATTTATATTTTTTGTGAGTTTTAAATAACTCTCAAAGGGGGAACTGTGGAAATATAAATTTTTATCATCGAATTTCAAATTAACAATAATCTACGTATAACTAAAGTTATATTCTCTGGTTTTTAATTATTTTATTTCATTGACATGCCAGCTAGGAGGGTCATATAACTTTTGCCTTGCTGACTACAGGCTAAGCCAACCCAGATAGCATGCAGTAATCGGCCCGAGCTCGGCTGCCCTCCGCTGCCTCCGGCTCCGACTCGGCATCGGCGAGTGTTATCCGGGCAGAGTGCGGCCCGCAGCTCGCTCGCGCACATGCGGTTGTGATGCGGCTGTAAAGCACTGGCCCGATTCCGGTCAACCATATCCGGCCCGAGTCTGTCTGTAGAGTCCTGGCCACTTCTGGCAAGGACTCGGCTGATGGCAACCGATTAAGTTCTTATTTTATCTAGTAATCTGTTAGCTCCACGTTTAATGATAATTTGAGAACATATTCATGGTACGATAGCAAAAAAAAAAAAAAGAATATTTAGTGTGGATGGTCGCAATGTTTAGACGCAAACAAAACAATATTATTTATAAATAGATTATGCATGTCATCTAGAGAAAAACTGTAAAATTCGCTTATTTTTGAGATGGCACGCTCCTGTGCTGACAGTTTTTTTTTTAAAGCAGAAGTTGGTTTCATAATAAACACATGCGTGACTAAACTCATGATCCAAACTCCATCCAGACGGTGGCGGTAATGCTCCAAAAAGCTGGTTGTCAACCACCATGGCACGAAGATCACAAGAAGAAAAAGTTTGGTTTTTCAAACGCGTGATTTTTTTTTTCCCAAACCAGTTCAGCGCAAACCACGCCCCCTACGCGAAAACCCCACCCCGCTGCTGTGACACGCGCGATTTCATTGGGCAACGTTGTTACTTGTCGTCTGAGAAAGAAGTTCAGAGTGCACATCAATCAAGTTCGTCGTTAATGGATCTATCGTTGACAAACGGTAAACACTTCTTTCTTAATAATGTTTAATATTAATAATATAGTCATGGAGATGTGAGTGTATGTTTTTTTTATCTCATTTTTTATAGTGTTCATTTTATTTATTTTATCTTTATTTTATTATTTTCGATCGCCCTCAGGAGAGTACGATTGTAGTGCCAAAGATCAAGCTGCAGATCTAAAGGTAAAAAATACATTGTTTTTTTTCATTAAACACACAAATATAGTACACAGTCTTTCAAAAATTTGGGATCAGCAAGAATTGTAATTTTGTTTATAGAAGGATGCTTCAATTAATCCAAAATACAGAATGAAATAAATGCTGAAGTAGAAATAATGTGTTTCTTATTGACTGAAAACTAATTTGATTAGACTGTTTCCAACAATGATAATAAATCAGCATTTATAATAATTTCTGAACTATGGTGTGACACTTAAGACTAGAGTGATAATACTGATAATTCAGCTTTTCCATCGCAGGAATAAATTGACAATTTACATCAAAATATAAATATTATATAATAATATTTCAATAACATTTCACAATAATGCAACTTTCTGTATTTTTAATAAAGTGAATGCAAACTTGGTGAGCAAAAAAGCTAATGGTAATATTGATCTCAAACGTTTAAACAGCATTACAAGATTTATAAATCATATTAATTATTTTTATTACTATTATTGTAATAAACTTGGCTTACTGTAAAATTTTGGGATATCTCAGTTAAAATGCTTATAGGTGAACAGTCTTTCAGGTAAATTATTTCTACTTTTACAGAACTGGTTGCCTCTCGAGAGCAAATACCACTTCTGCCCTTATCGCTTAGGCCATACAAACAGTAAATTACATTTGGGCCACCCAAGTTTGAAGCAATTCTAAAAATTGCATTTAGAGATTTGGGAAGTAAAGGAATGGGTGAAAAAACTTAAGTGAGTCTTGAGTTAGTTGGAGAGTGGCAGTGACAAAACCTAAAAGGGACAATGTAAAATCAGTTAATTCTTTTTCACACTATATAAATGTAGCACACTGAAAATAACTTTACAGTAAATATTGTAAACATACATAATTCTACTTTTCAAAACATTTTAGATTCTTCACACAAACTGAGATGTTTATTAATCTATTTTGCTTTAGTGTGCCAGTTAGAAATATCAGTTAACATTGACTTTTAAAATGGTTTGTAATAGTCCAGTGAGATTTTTACCCTTGTGATGGCTCCAGTATTTGTATAAACCTAGGACAGGTCATATGGATAGATAGATTTTCAAATGCGCAGCCACAGTGATTCTGAAATCATATAGTCTCAGCCTCAGACATCATGCCAAGCAACTTCTGATGCATACGGCACACTTTTCTGGAAACATTTTTAAAGATCCTCAGTCGTCCTCTGATTAGTTTAAATATACAGGATTTCTGTGAGTCGACAGCGCACCTAGAAACAAGTCTGTGCAGATAAAATAGCTGCAATGATTATATTGATGACAGCACTTATTAATAAACGTATAACTTTCTGAGATATTTAGTGATTTACTGCCTGCATACTTGTCTGTTATTGTGAAGATCACTTTGTGATGATGGGCATTTATTAATTTGATTTAAATGCTGGATTATTAAAAGTATCCAATATTCACTGCATAAAAGCTTTAACACAAGATATTGATATTAACTTGCAGGTATGCTTATATATATATATTTTTTTTTATTATTTTTATTTTCTAATGGCAGTGTAAATCTTCAAATATTCTGTCATTTTGGTCATAAAGATAAGAGAATGACCATTCAAAGCAGCAACTGTTTTTTTTTATTTTTTTATTTGTGGATACTCACAAAACAACAAAACCTTGCTTTTATAGAACAAAGTAAACTTTCACTCACTTATCTCATCTGAGGTGATCTTAGGATGGGTAAAAATGCTTCATCAAAATAATGAATGAATCTGAGAAAAGTCTACATACATGTCCTACAGATTTCCGATATGTTTTGCTGACAGATAATTTAGAATAATGCTGCATAATTGTTGTAAACGTTTGATATTTCTAAATGTAAAATAAAAATATCTAACATTTCTGCATACTTCGGTACACATTTAAACATTCATATTTTTTCTCTGTAGGCTCATTACAGGTGCCGCAACAATGTTCATGTTTGATCAGGCATGGCTTGTCAACAACGGCTGTCGAAAAACACATGCTGTGGGGTAAAAATGGGTTGCACTTTGGTAAAGACTGTAGACAAAAGGGGAGGATCAAGTAGGTGAGTTAGAAATGTCAAAATTGTACAAATTATTTTTTTTATAAGTTTCCTTGTGTGATTTGTTTTTATTTTTCAGGAACATTGATCCCCATATTCCCACTTACTCAACATCTGTGCGCTTGTACAATGTGCATTGAGGCACAAGGTTGTAGGGGTCACTGTAGTTGCCACCACCGTAAAAGTTAATGCTGTTGAGATGCCACCATGTCAGAGCCTGAGCTGCCAGTTGCCACCAGAGCTATTGCTGCCACATGCACCAGAGTTACTGTCTACAGAACCGCTCACAAAGCCTCAACCACAGTCAGACCCATTCCAGCAAAACTGCCAGAGCCTGTTGTGCTAGAGCTGGCAGATCTGCTGCTGCCATAGCCAACACTTCCAGAGCCACCGATGCCACCACCTGAGCTCCAAGATTGGCCACCTCTGCTAAAGCCAACTAACCTATGAGAGCCACTCTATTTCTAAAGTGAGGACAATTTATGCTTTATAAATCCCTAATAAATGACAATTAAAGGCTCAGTGTCTAATGAACAGTACATCTTTGTAATCCTATCTAAAAAATAAAATTACTGTAAAGTTTAAACATTGCCGAATAACAGGAGTGTCAAAATCCGACTAAAATTGGATAAAAAAAACAACCATATAATAATTTAACAATATATTTTGATACAACATTATAATGTTATTTAGCAAAGTTTAAACTGAACAGTAACTTTATTTTAGTTAAGATTGCAAAAATGTATTTTTAATTTGATGCAGATTCATTTATGTATTTTCAAATGATTAGAAATTAATAAGGTCGTGTTTTTTTTTCTTTCCCTGATTAGAAAATAAATGAGCCTTTAATTGTTATTTATAAGGGATTTATAAAGCATAAATAGTCCTCACTTTAGATTAGGTCACAATACTGGATGAAGTTAAAATACTAAAGCATTTATAAACATACAAATTGATTATTAGTATATGCCTGAATAATAAGATATATAAATGTTACTTTGAATGGTTTATTAATTATTTACTTATGCATTCTGAATGAATTCTGAACTTTAAAAGCCACAAAGTACTCTCAAATAATTGGTTTGTAAATTATACAATACTTAAGTATTGAAAAAATTATTATTAACAAAGTATGAAAATACAATCATTAAGCACATTATAGTTGAGCTTATAAATCAGGAATAGAGCATTTGTATCTGTAGTTACAAACTGCTTACTAACTTCTGTTAATGTAGAGTTAATGCTTAACAAATAAGGAATTAAATTTGCTAATGCTTCATAAATTATTCATAGCGTGTAGTTATTATAAAGTGTTACCAAAATGGGTATCATTTATTTATTTTTTTATGGGAGGGCTCTAACAATGAATATTATTCCTGTCCAACTGATTATTCTCATTTTCTGGTCAGAAAAGTACATTAAAGGTAAAACAATAGGTACTGTGAGAGGAATCATATTATGATCAATTTTAACTTGTACAGCATTAAATTAAAGCCTTATTTGAAAGGCCTGCAGAACATATGTTTGTATCATTTGCAGTTATTAAATATCTTAACTCTAACAGGTATAGTTCAATATACTTTTGCTTCAGTTGATTTTCATCTGATATGCAGATTATGTGCAGTGTTGGGCAAGTTACTCCGAGAACGTAATACATTATTGATTATTACTAATTATCATTTAAAAATAAATACAATTGTATTTTAAATAACTTTTTTATTAAATTTAATTAAAAACTTAATTACTTAGTAAGTCATTTATTACTCAATATTATAAAAGAAATAAACCACAAATCCCAAAGCATAGACAATAGAAATAAATCTTTTAATTCTTTAAATTTGAGTCTAACAGGACCTTTTAGTTTCATTAAACATTATATATTTCAAATATTTTCAAATTTGATACCATTCATACAGACTATTAAGCATAAGTAAGTGTATATAAGTGTAATTGTTGGACAAATGTAACATTCTTTAATAAAAAAATTGTGTTATTTTGCAAAATATCTGAATTTTGACAACAAATTATACACATTCCTATCCCACTTTCTCTGAATTAATACCAGATATTGTCAGAATCAATCTTTCAATTTAACTATTTTATACTAGACAGCGAAATATAAAGTGGTTATGTTTGCATGCAGGGGCTGTGTTAAATTAATAATAATTTAAAAAGCTTTTAAAATAAATAAATATTATGTTTGTGTGTTTTTGCTGGTTTTTGTACTGAGTAATGTTTTCTCATTGTTAAGATGCTGTTGTGTGTGTGTTTACTACATGTATTTAGGCACTATTTTTATTCATTAAAAACACAGCTTTTTATATAAGCTGTAGATTGTTTGTACTACGTTTCATTTCATACACGCACTTTGTTAACCTTTCGTATTTTAGGTGTTTTAATAAAAAATAGTTTGTGTTCGTTGCCATTGTGATATAGCCGGACCAATTAAATCGAGTCACGGACGTGAGTCACAGCAGCGGGGTGGGGTTTTCGCGTAGAGGGCGTGGTTTGCGCTGAACTGGTTTGGGAAAAAAAATCACGCTTTTCAAACATTTCACGTGGATTCCGGTCAGAAAGGTAAGCTTTTTACTGCTTGTGTACTGTATAATTAGCGAATTTAGAGCTTAAAACATTTCCACGGTGTTTGGTTGTAACAGCGTTTAGTAATTTAAAACAGTTTGATACGAAATGTAACTTGCTTTAAGAAACACGACTGGAGCTAATGTATGCTAACGCTAACAGTTACAAACACGTCTGAAAGTTCCGGTTCCTTTTACACAATGTTAGATTGTAACGTGTGTAGAAACTGAAAACTATTTTAATTATTTTAAAGAAACATGAAACGAGTTTGTGTGTATGCTAACTTTGCGTTAAAGAAAGTTTCTGTAGACGAATCCATTAACATGGCAAAACGTGTTTTTTTTCCTGATTTAACATTATAAAGTACCGTGGATGTTGAAAAAATCATTGTACAGGCGTTTACTTATCCAACAGTATTAATTCTGTGATTATGTGTAAATAAAAACTAATCGTTTTGGATTAATAAAATATTATTGTTTATCTTGTTTATGCAGTTAGTCACGAAAAATGATTGAAACTCGACTGTTTACTATTCTCTTTAAATTCTCCAAGAGAAATATATTAGTGTGCGCTTTAATGTGTTAGCCTATGTGAATCAATTATATCTTTTGTTCAAGCTGTAATGGTCAGTTAATGTAAAACTGAACGTCTTAAAGCAGATTTTGATGTTTTTTTGTTTGTTTTTTATGTTATTGACAGTGATAAATTCTGATTTAAATGAATGGGTAACAATATTTGTTGGTTAAGTCTTATTGTTCTTGTTTAACAAAGGTTAGTGAGATCACTTTGCAGTACATCACGACCAAAGAAGTCAATGGCACACTCTTTTGAACGTAACAGGCATGTTATAGTTGTGTGCTAAAAGTCCATTATAAGCTGTAAACTGCTGATACATTTTCAACATAGATTGAGCTTTTCAGACATTACATTACTAATTGCTTCACAAACAGCTGAAATGGTTTATTGTTATTGGCTATCATCATCATCAAGCATTTTTCACAATGGTAGGTTAATCTTCATGGGTACAGAATAATGCATGTGCTTGACCATCTTACAAATCTATGTCTCAGATTCATAAGGCTGTCACTCTGCATGAATCTCCGAATAAATCTTGTGCAACCTTCTGTGTACTGATTATTTACACTATAGGTATTATATGCATTAATTAACTTTGATAGTATTTCAGGATTTGAACTTTTCTTTACGGGAGGTTAACAACAAGATGCATATGAGGAAGCTCGACTCAAACATCCACACGCAACTGTGATTTCTGACTGGCAGACAGATGAGGATGATGATCGCCTGTCATACATCTAAAGACAGAACAGGTTTGTTTGCAATTATTTTAAACACATACTGTCAACATTGTGTCATTGATCTATTACAACCTGTGAGTTTTGCCCTGGCACTATACTAAAGTGATGTTTTGTTTCGTAAATGTATCTGATTAAGGGACAGTATAGACAAATCTATACCGTGATGAAGAAAAATTACTTGGAACAAAGAGGCTGGATAAAAGGCAGGTATGACGATTTCAGAAATCAATGCAGCACCACAAGTCACATCACCATCAATGACTATGGCAGAAATCTTAAGACCACCATCAAGATGCACAGATACTGTACATTCCAGTACACCAGGCGTGTCCAAACTACGGCCCGCAGGCCATCTGCGGCCCGCGAGGCTTTTTATAAATACCAATAGAATCTGGCCCGCTATACGAAAATGAACGTAATTCAATAAATAACCACCGGGTGTCGCTATTACGTGCATTCAATTAAGCAGCAGTTCTTGTTATGATCTGTCTGTCTGTCTGTCTATCTACACACAGTTGAAGTCTGAATTATTAGCCTCTCATTGATTTATTTCTTCTTTTTTAAATATTTCCCAAATGATGTTGGATAAAGACATGTTTTATTTCGGCTAGAATAAAAAGCGGTTTAATTTTTTTTTATGAACCATTTTAAGGTCAAAATTATTAGCCCCTTAAGTCTTCAGAACAAACCATTGTTATAAAATAACTTGCCTAATTACCTTAACTTGACTAGTTAACTTGATTAACCTAGTTAAGCCTTTAAATGTCACTTTAAGCTGTATAGAAGTGTCTTAAAAATATCTAGTCAAATATTATTTACTGTCATCATGGCAAAGATAAAATAAATCAGTTATTAGAAATGAGTTACTAAAACTAATATGTTTAGAAATGTGTGGAAAAAAATGTTTAACTCTCCGTTATACAGAAATTGGGGAAAAAATAAACGGTGGCTAATAATTTAGGGGGGCTAACAATTCTGACTAAACTGTATTTATATATA